ATGAATTGTTACGCCAAGGTAACTAGTGTTTCCAATGTCGGTCCAATTGTCACACGTGAGTGTGTACGATTGAGCTCGTGACAGAACCTCCTTAAATGGTTGTTTCAAAACTTCATATCGAGCTTGAATTTTTGCCAACACCGTCATGAATACTTTGAAGGCCTCGTTCTCGACGATTGAAAGGGGCAATTTCGCCACACATATCAAATAGAGAAGAACCATGGTAATTCGATTGGCGTTTTCTCCACGATCTGTAATTGAATTCAGAGTATAAGCGATGAAGGAATAGTTTATAAATGAGATCGAAAGATAGGAATAAGAATGATGAATAACAAACCTGCATAAGAATTCTGACGTGAAAATGCATTGGTGATGGTAGGTAGATTATGAGGAAACCAAGATTCATTCTTTCCGGTGGAGGGCGACTCATCAGAGAGTTTATCAGGGGACAAATGAATTTTCCGTTTCTTGGATTTCGGTAGTATCACAAAATCAGAATGTTTGCGCTCGAGATGTTGCAACATATTGCTGGTATTCTTATCATGTTTATAAATTCTGCCACAGTGCTGACATTTTGCTGTCAACTTATCTACGTTCTTGAAATGTTTCCAAACCAGACTGCTCTGTTTTCTAAATAACAAAACATAAAACTTATGAGAAATTCGAATCACGACTTCAAAAATATCCGTTTTCCAATGACTAAAAAATGAGGGGGCAAGTAAGAGAGCTGGAGCTTAGAGCTGATAAATAACCCTACAGCAGGACTATAAAATGATTAATATAAACAAATCAAGCATCAAAACTTTGTACTCGATACAAGATTTGAGTCGGCCAGGTAAAATGTTCAGGGATAATTATCGATAAATTATAAGACAACACATTATCTCAGTGAGGGTCAGTTTCAGGAGGAGAAGCAAGAGAATTAAATTTTTACATGAATGGAGGAAAATTACCCTTTCGGTCCAATCACCGGTGTAGAAGTGGAGACAGCTGATTTCTTCTGAAGTTTGATTGCGCCATCGGCTGAGGAAGAATTTTCTTTTATTTTCTTGCATAAATTATGGAAATTGATGGGGATGATCATTGTGAGTGAATCAGGTGATGACAAAGGAAGTACTTACATCTTTCACTTGGGTCTCTGGCCTCATTAGTAGGATATTGAAATTTTCGCAGCTTCTCTTTGGTACTGTTTGAGCTGTTGGTATGTTGTGAAGAAGAGTCGGAATCAAAGTGGATAGAATTTCTATCCGGTTTATCACTTTCATCGGTAACAGGTACAGTGTTTGACGTAGAGGCCTGTATATTTGTGTTGCTCTGTCTTATTGGTGACGTGCCTGGTGCTTGATCTATTGAATCTCCTCCCAACGCCTCATTGTGTAAGTCATCCGATGCATGATTACACTGTTCCTCGCTGGAAATTTCTACATTTTTAGAATCTCTCAGTGGCTATGTCACATAACCATTGAAGACAGAATTTCAAACCAATTATTTTTCGGGTGAAACGACTGTTCAGAAAAATCCAAATACTCATGCCTTTCATAACCAGATTAAACAAGCCCCAGCAATTCGGTTTTTTAAAAAATAGTCGTTGCACCTTACAAGATATTTGGATTGAAATTTTGCCTCTTATGTACATGTGACAGCTAGGTGTTCTTATTTTCTATATAGGGGAGGGTGGATTAAAATGGACACTTTTTTTTATTTAAACTGGTGTACTGGCAATTATCACCATGAAATGCCTTTCTTGGACTACAGGATGACGATCTAAAATGACAAACGCGTTGATCAAAGTCATTTAATTATTATCAGAGTAAATATAAAACTAATAGCTACGAAAATATTCATTTTTTAAATGGTTCAACAATGCAATAACTTTAGCTTAAAAAATACAGTTGAAACACATGTAAATCGAATTTTAAAACTCCATTTGCAGATGCTCAATCATTGGTAAATTTTTTACGTTATTGACGGATTCGCGTTATTCGAGAGCCCTGCTTGTCCGCCTGTTAATTAACTAATAGCTAAATATTTAATTTACTTATTTATGTGTATTGAGACGTAGAGAAATTTCAAAAATAAAAAAGAAAACAATTTTTTGGAGGTGTCCATTTTACGCCACCCTCTCCTAAACATTGATAATATTAAATAACCAAACGATATCTCGCGTTATACGATGACGTATCAACTTACAAATTAATTCCCCCATCAGTGCTCATGTGGATACAGTCAATCCTTCCATCTTCAGCTAAAGGTATATCTCCCCTTGTGATCAGCTCCATGCAAAATTTCTCTGCTGCCTCTTTATTCTCTGTAAGATGATAATTATAACACTTCTTTTCCTTGTCAAGTTTCGAATTATTTAATGCTTCGTTTAAAACGATGTTTTCTTTATCAGATATCCACGTGTTCGTTTAGCCAGTTAAAAACAAAAATGATTGCAAGGAAAAAAACATTATATGTTCTGAGAAAGTTTTCTATGTTTTTGGGATACGAAACATGGGTGTTTCAAAAAAGTTTTCTTTCAGAATATCAAAATAAGGAATGCATGGTTTTTTCCATGCAATTATTATTTTTTTTTTCAATCAACTAAACGACCACGTAGGAATCTGATGAAGAAAATATTGTTTTAAATCAACATACATTAATTGACTCGAAACTTAACAAGAATAAAAGCGTCATTATAATTTTGTAGATATTTATGTGTTAAATGTTATTCTCAATATTTAAACTAACGTCTTATCTTCAGATACGTTCGATAGTCAATTCCATTAATGACATATGGCTCCCCTTTGTTCAAGGTGACAAAAACTGTGAACAATATTTCAGAAGTTCGTGCTAAAAAAGAAAAAAAACATTGAGGGATAATATTCATTGACGCTTTTTTTCTCTGTCAAGTTTCGAATTATTTAATGCTTACTCGTTTGGAACGATATTTTCTCTATCAGAATTCTGCGTGTTCTTTTTGTTAGTTAAAAAAAAAATGCGCGTAAAAAAACATATGTTCTGAGAAAAATATTTGTTTTTCGGGGGTACAAAATATGGATGTTTTTAAAAAAATTTTATAAATAAAACATCGTTCTAAACGAACGCGTATTCAATTATTCGAATCTTAACGAGAAAAAAAAGCGTCATTAAAGTTTGAGGTTATTTCAACCGGTGGAGATATTGTTTAATTCAATGCTCCAGTAAATCATTCAAGTCCATAATCAAATGCATAAAATACATCACTTACCAGCTTTTTCACAGTCCATGCTGTGAAAATTTGGAATCTTCTTTTCTTTTAACTAATAATTTGATGAAAACTGAAAATACATCGGTTTTTTTTAAAAGGTGTGTAGTGTTTTCCAAGAGGATTAGTTATAAGGTTTTTTTTTAAATCGTGGATATTCGCGTCGAACTGTGCGAGGAACCCTAACGATGCAGGGTCCCTAGAGTAGCCGCCATCTTCACCAGAATTATTTGGATCAATGAGATTGGTCTTCAATTTTGTTGGGGGTCTCGAAGTTCTCGCGAGAAATAATTTCCAACCTCCAAAGTTACCCTCGTGTTTTCTTTCAATAATTATAATGGAAAAAATGGAGAAGGCACTCATGGACGACCTCATAATAACAGGTATGTATATCAAACATTCTCCTTCGAAGTACTTTTATGATCGTGACACTTTTAATTTCGTAATTTCAGAACATGCTCAAAGCTCGAGGAGGAAGTTTTCCATTTACCTGCAAATAAACATGCAGGATCCATTTCGTATTGATGGGTTGAGCTTGAATCTCTATCTACGTCTGTTGAGTATGTTTTTTTCTGCTAAATATTAGTGAATATAATAAGTAAAAATAAAACGTATTTGAAATTGTCTAATTTGCAAAATAATTCCAGGGGAGAATGGATTTGTTACAACATTTGTGCATAATCTGATCGACAGCGGGCGTGTGCACAACCAAGATGGCAACATCGAATCGTTCTATCGATCAGCGGACGGAATTTTTTAGTGAGTAATAAAAAATAGTATCTGAATTAAATTTTTAAATAATCTATCACGTTTTTTATAAAAATTTTTTTAACTCATTCGTCTAGCGAACGTGTGGAGTTGAATTGATGTGAACTGGAGAAGAAAAACTATAATTAAAATGATCTCATTATCTCATTTATCTGTATGAATCTCTACCTATAAATAAATGAAAATTTTCTATCGTATTTATTGCATTTATTATTCTATTTTTTCGACGTTCTTTAATCGTTTTATGCTCAAACATCCATTTCCTTCTAATCTAGAAATTCTATGATGAGCGGTAGCCCACAGGCGGCATTGTTAATATTCAAATATTAAATATGTAATTGAAAAAATTAACGGGATTTGTTTAATTAATGGCTTCAAAAACATCGATGTTTGGGAGAAAACATCGAAAAATCGATTAATCGGCTGTTGGAAACATCGAATGAAAAACATCGATGTCTTCGACAGAAAAATCGATGTTTTCGATTAATCGAAAAACATCGCCCATGCCTAATCGCCACTACCCGCCGTCCCCCTTCGAATCAAAATACGTCGTTTCTTAAATTCCATCAACAGATCATTCGTTTTTCTTTTCTTTCTCCCTTCCTTTTCCCCCCCAAAAACGATTGTTCCCCTCACCCCCCTCGGAATTAAAGTAGAATCATTGAAATAAAATTAATAATTTTATTTTCGAGTCAAGTAAAAAATTTTTAGAGTAGAAACTTTCGAAATTTTTATATTCTTTGGTGTTTTTTGCAATAATTTTTTTGACGTGACGGGAAGAATAGCTACCCTCATTTCAGTACTATTTTTCTGTTTTTCTTCGACTTTTCGAACCTGCAAAGGGGGACTCTCGAGTCTTATTAAGATTAGCCGCGGGAAATGACGGAATAACTCACGGGTGGTTGTTTTTTCTTAAATTAATAATAATAAATAATTCGACAGAAATCCCCTGAAATTCTGTCCATTGAATAAATTTCCATTGAATAAATTTCCATTGGATAAATTTTCATTGAATAAATACGACGGTCCCTCCGATCCCCTAACAAGATGACTCCGAGACCCAACGCCAACCCTATATTCACCCCCGTCCCTACTACTTCCATTCTGCCCAGTACACACGTCCCCTCTCCCTCCATCGAGGTTACCCATTATTGAGAGCTATGTAAACACAGGTTTGAGGAACTGGGCCCTTATGAGCAGAGAGCTCTTCTAGATGCCCATCAAGTAAATATTTTTGCAAGTCCCAAGGTTTTGATAGATCGATTCGTAAGATTAGAAGTGAGAAAAAACTTTGGCGATGAGGCCGCTGAGTGGAATAAAGAAGTTGATTCTTCCTACATCGCTCTTTCTTTTTTAGGCATTCCCACCCAGCTCTGGGGAAGTTCGTTAATTCAAGTAGAAACACAGAACAGGAGGTCAGAGACCTCACAGATTGTTGAGTTATCTCGCACCGCCAGTAAGCGAGAAGTTCCCAGAATTGAACTCCCCTCAGATGAATTTCAAGTTACCCCCAGTCAGCCTCGAACTAGTACAGTGGACCTCAGCCCCTCGAAAGCCCTAGAGCCCTCAGTTCCTTGGTATCCCAGTCAGCCCCACCTAGCCACCCTGACAGTAGTCGAATCACCCAATACATCTCTTGAGCAGACACCTCAGAATCATACCGAGGATTGCCCCCAAATTCCCCCGGGACCGGATCAATGCCTCGTTCAATCCCTTGGAAAACCCAGTAGCAGTGAAGAGAATGCAAATGTTAAAGATCTCAAGGAGGAAGTAATTGAAGATCCCAAACTCCCTCCCCAGATGGATCAAATTCCCCCACTCATGTCTCTGAAAATCTCCCGTCCCCCTAGCCTGAATCGAATTCCCCCGTTCATGAGTTGGAAAACCCCTCGTCCATTTGATCTGAATCCACTCTCTTCATCAGTGAGAACTAGAATCCCTCGTCCCCATGCAGTTGATAGAAAGCCCACTGAAACCAAGTCAGCATTCCTCTTTCACTCAGTACAATCAAGGTCACCCCAGCCCCTAGGAAATCCCAGAATGTCTCCAAATACCTCGGAACTCCTCCCAGTTACCCCAGCTACCCCAGAGATACCGGAGAAGACCCCAGAAATCCCACAGAAGACCCCAGAGATCTCAGAGAAGACCCCTAGCATACCAGAACGCCCTAGAAGAACCCTCAATCCCGCAGGAATCCTAGGAATATGCCACCATGTCTCAAGATTCCACAGAATGATCCGGAGAGTACAGAAATATCCCCTAGAGTCTCGAAAATTTCCTGGAAACCCCCAAGTCCTTCTAAAAATCCCCGAAAACTCCAATGAATCTCGACCACTCCCCAAATTTTCCAAGATATCCCAAAATCCCCCAGGTATCACAGGATTCAATCTTAATAGTTAGAGTAGGTGAACTGAAAAATCGGAACAGTCAGTAGGAAAAATCTATTGTTCCCAGGAAATAAGAAAAATTCACCTAGTAAAATAGGCCCCGTATTAGGTTAGATTATTAATTAGAATTATTATTTCACAAAGTAAAGTAGAATAATGATGATTGTTCAACAGAACTTTCTGACAAGCCCATGTATCTTGTACCCCCGGGACAATCCGAGACTTAAATCGAAAATATTCACCTCGAATTGCCCCTAGAATGGACAGTAAGCCCCCAAGTTTCCCAGAAGACCCCAAGATACCCTGAGACACCGCAGACCCCTAGAAAATTCACCCGGAGAACCCAGAAACCAACCCCATGTCACCTGCACTCCTGGGACCATGACCAGCTGGATTTAAAAGAAAGGCTTAAAATATTCAGAGAAAGCTGGGAGGGCCCTGACACATTCTAAGAACCCTGGAATTAGGTTAGGATTATGTTAGAAATATTTCGCATGACCCAATGTGGTCCGAAATACCCCAGAATATGAGAGATTTTATAATCAGTCGTTGCGATGAGCATGACTGTACAAAGTTGCCCAGAGATCCATAACGGTTATTAATTAAAATCACTCGTGGATAAAATTGTCGTTAGTTTACGTTTTTAAGTAGTCACATCTTTCCCCCTCGAGACCCATAAGGAGCCCCCCAAAAATCGAATCCTCCCCCCAGCGATGAAGTCAGGTGAATCCCCACAATCCCCATCTCCCTTCACCCTAGGGACAACTGTCCCTGATCTCGATACCCTTGTTCTCATTCATTGACCCCCTGGTTACCCCTCGACGAGCCCCTTCCCCAAGGTCTGACCATAAGATTGAACCCCCTAGACAACTCCCCAAGCCCAAGAAATCAACCCCTCGCCCTTCCATTTATTTTAGTTTTCTTTTGTTACCCAAAGACCCTTTGATGTATAATTTTTCGAGTATAATTTTTGAATATTGTTTGACGGAATTAGTTTTGGTTTCATTATTAATAATTAATTGGAAAATAAGGATGAGAGTGTTGCGGCGACTGAGCTGTCGTCCAATGAAAAATAAATGGAGTGGTCAACCTACAAAATCATAATTACGAACGAGGGAAAATGTAGGGAGATACCCCGTATGATAAGTGAAATAATTGGTAAAATTTGTTCCTAATAGTCTGAGCCTTCATTCCAGCCTCTCTTCCCCTGGAGCAGTAGCCTAAAAAATTAGTTGTAAAAGGTTTGAATCGCTCAACGCAGGGTTGTTGAAACCCTACGTATTCTCTACCCCCGGGACAGCTGTGACGAGGCACATTATTTAATTTTTATTATTTTTATACATATTTTTCCCCAACACACACTGCCCCCTAAAACCGCAAATTCTCGCCACCGTTGGTTACCTCTTCCCTTGCTTTTCTCCTCATCGCCCCTCTACCCTTGCCCCTGGACATCACGAAGACATCAGCCGAAGGAAGACATCAGTTTCGGCCCCACCCGATCAATTGGAGAAGCCATCGCCCCCTGGAAATTCCCCATACTGGACCCCCGAATATTCAACACTTGCAACAATTCCTTGTGAGACATCCCTGGATTGTGGTCATCGTCACCACTCACCCGTGCTGATTGGCCCCGATTACTCCCGAATTAAAAACCGAAGGACATCGACACCTGACGAACCCCCACGAATCGCGAAGGAAAAGAAAANCCTCATCGCCCCTCTACCCCTGCCCCTGGACATCACGAAGACATCAGCCGAAGGAAGACATCAGTTTCGGCCCCACCCGATCAATTGGAGAAGCCATCGCCCCCTGGAAATTCCCCATACTGGACCCCCGAATATTCAACACTTGCAACAATTCCTTGTGAGACATCCCTGGATTGTGGTCATCGTCACCACTCACCCGTGCTGATTGGCCCCGATTACTCCCGAATTAAAAACCGAAGGACATCGACACCTGACGAACCCCCACGAATCGCGAAGGAAAAGAAAAGACCGTCACTCGTGCATTAGCTGCCCCGTGAGTCGCCACGTGCCCCGAAAGTAGTAAATAGTGAATACAGTAAAATTCGCCCGGAAGTTATTTGGCGGATAAAAAGAGGATTTTTGATACATCGAGCTCATCCCAGCTCTAGTATTGGTGCCCAGGAAACCTCGAGGTGGAAAGGAGGCTCTCCAGGAAAACGCTCTGGTATTTTGAAGGAGTGCAAGGCGCCGGTGGAATTCCCACGTGTTCGCCAGAGTGAAGTCCCATCGTGAGTACGAGTTACCCCCCACATTTTCCCTCTTGCCCCCACAATATTACCCTTCATACCCCCCAATGGTGAGGGCACACTTTTCTTTTTGTCTCTCAGTAAATTATCCGATTTAGTTATCTCTTTTGATTACTCTTCTCGATACCTCTAGATTCTCTCCCATTTTTCACAATTTAGATTCATCCCTTTTTGACATGTACTAAAGTAGCCTGGCCGCCCCCACTTCCCTAGATCAGAGCAAATGGCCTTTTTGACGTCTTCTGACGATCCATTATTTGTAAAGTTCATAGAATATATCTTATCATTTGAATTTAACCCGTTATTTTATCTATTTCTTTATTTTACCTTTCCTCAATTCAGGAAATAGTCTAATTAAAATAAGGAAAAGGTCACATTGACCTGAAATGGGACACGACGGGACTTCACTCTGGCGAACACGTGAAAATTCCACCGGCGCCTTGTACTCCTTCAAAATATCAGGGCGTTTTCCTGGAGAGCCTCCTTTCCACCTCGAGGTTTCCTGGACACCAATACTAAAGCTGGGATGAGCTCGATGTATCAAAAATCCTCTTTTTAAGAATGATTCAAACCTTTTACAACTAATTTTCCAGGCTACTGCTCCAGGGGAAGAGAGGCTGGAATGAAGGCTCAGACTATTAGGAACAAATTTTACCAATCATTTCACTTATCATACGGGGTATCTCCCTACATTTTCCCTTGTTCGTAATTATGATTTTGTAGGTTGACAACTCCATTTATTTTTCATTGGACGACAGCTCAGTCGCCGCAACATTCTCATCCTTATTTTCCCATTAATTATTAATAATGAAAACAAAACTAATTCCGTCAAACAATATTCAAAAATTATACTCGAAAAATTATACAGCAAAGGGTCTTTGGGTAACAAAAGAAAACTAAAATAAATGTCTTTGGAAGGGCGAGGAGTTAATTTCTTGGGCTCGGGGGTTGTCTAGGGTGTTCAATTTAATGGTCAGGCTTTGAGGAAGGGGCTCGTTGAGGGGTAACCAGGGGTCAATGAATGAGAACAAGGGGTATCGGGATCAGGGACAACTAGGGTGAAGGGAGATGGGGGTTGTGAGGATTCACCTGACTTCATCGCTGGGGGGAGGATTCGATTTATGGATCTCGAGGGGGAAAGATGTGACTACTTAAAAACCTAAACTAACGACAATTTTATCCACGAGTGATGTTAACTAATAATCGTTATGGATCTCTGGGCAACTTTGTACAGTCATGCTTTCATCGCACCGACTGATTATATAATCTCTCATATTCTGGGAAATTTCAGACCAGATTGGGTCATGCGAAATATTTTTAACCTAATCCTAACCTAATTCCAGGGTTCTTAGAATGCGTCAAGGCCCTCCCAGCTTTCTCTGAATATTTTAAGCCTTTCTTTCAGATCCAGCTGGTCATGGTCCCAGGGGTGCAGGTGACATGGGGTTGGTTTCTGGGTTCTCCGGGTGAATTATCTAGGGGTCTGGGGTGTCTCAGGGTATCTTGGGATCTTCTGGGAAACTTGGGGGCTTACTGTCCATTCTAGGGGCAATTCGAGGTGAATATTTTCGATTTAAGTCTCGGATTTTCCCGGGGGTACAAGATACATGGGCTTGTCAGAAAGTTCTGTTGAACAATCATCATCATTCTACTTTATTTTGTGAAATAATAATTCTAATAAATAATCTAACCTAATACGGGGCCTATTTTACTGGGTGAATTTTTCTTATTTCCTGGGAACAATAGATTTTTCCTACTGACTGTTCCGATTTTTCAGTTCACCTACTCTAACTATTAAGCCTGAATCCTGTGATACCTGGGGGATTTTGGGATATCTTTGAGAATTTTGGGAGTGGTCGTGATTCATTGGGGTTTTCGGCGATTTTTAGAAGGACTTGGGGGTTTCCAGGAAATTTTCGAGACTCTAGGGGATATTTCTGGACTCTCCGGATCATTCTGTGGAATCTTGAGACATGTTGGGATATTCCTAGGATTCCTGGGGGATTGAGGGTTCTTCTAGGGCGTTCTGGTATGCTTGGGGTCTTCTCTGGGATCTCTGGGGTCTTCTGTGGGATTTCTGGGGTCTTCTCTGGGATCTCTGGGGTAGCTGGGGTAACTGGGAGGGGTTCCGAGGTATTTGGAGACATTCTGGGATTTCCTAGGGGCTGGAGTGACCTTGATTCTACTGAGTGAAAGTGGAATGCTGACTTGGTTTCACTGGGCTTTCTATCAACTGCATAGGGACGAGGGATTCTAGTTCTCACTGATGAAGAGAGTGGATTCAGATCAAATGGACGAGGGGTTTTCCAACTCATGAATGGGGGAATTCGATTCAGGCTAGGGGGACGGGGGATTTTCAGAGACATGAGTGGAGGAATTTGATCCAGGGTAGGTGGTCAACGAATTTTGAGGGACATGAGTGGGGGGATTTGATCCATCTGGGGAGGGAGTTTGGGATCTTCAATTACTTCCTCTTTGAGATCTTTAACATTTGCATTCTCTTCACTGCTACTGGGATTTCCAAGGGATTGAACGAGGGATTGATCCGGTCCTGGGGGAATTTGGGGGCAATCCTCGGTATGATTCTGAGGTGTCTACTCAAGAGATGGATTGGGTGATTCGACTACTGTTAGGGTGACTAGGTGGGGATGACTGGGATACGAAGGAACTGAGGGCTCTAGGGCTTTCGAGGGGCTGAGGTCCACTGTACTAGTTCAAGGCTGACTGGGGGTAAGTTGAAA